TAATTTGTTACGTATAATTTTCAGTTTTTCTGTAATGCATACTTATTTGCTAACAGTAAAGTTTTTTATAAACTATAAATTAAAACCAATCATTTTATTTTTCTTTCTTTGGTGTGTGGCCTAAAGAAATTCAAAAACCAATAGTCTTAATCAATCAGTTTAAGAATATTGGAAATTTTCTAAAAAAATTTCAGTTACACATACCTGAGGACAATGACAAACATCATTAACACGTTGTACAATACAAAAATAAGAACTGAATTATAAGTGAAAAAAATCATACTATATAAGTTTTAAAAGTTTTATAATAAGGATAAACTGTCTGCAAAAAATTGGGTCTATAATTTATAAAAATTATAACTGTGAGTTATAATACTGTTTTGGTCTCTGATCTTTCACTTTCAATACAGATAGGCCTATTTAAAATTAAAGATCAACTTGATGTTATCCAAAGAAATTCAAGTGTAATAATCAAAAATTAAATAGCTTAGTGCCAAATTTCAGAGATGACAAAATGAAAAGAAATGTTTTTGGAATAAACTGTTATCATAAACTTTACTTTTCAATTAAAAATAACATTCTAAGTTAAAAATACAATTGTCTTCGAAGTAAATGTTGCAAGTAATTACTTCTTAATCTCTTTTTGGAGCTGCTCTGGAGAGCCCCTTCATTTTCAAAATATATCTCTTTTGCTTCAATTTTTCAGACACCATTTGCGAGGAAAAATCATCACTATTAGCCTTTAGGGATGATGTTATTTGCAAACCATTTGAACATAAACATGTATCACAAGTATTTATATTATCAAAGATTTTGTATTGAATTATTTTGCTTAGATATTGTGTTGAATCCTAATGTTTTCAGTAATATTGTGCATCTTTTGTGATAAACCCATTCATGACCAGCGTACTCATTTGAGTATGCACATTTCCGATCAACTCAAATTTGCTTCAGATGCATTAATTTCAGAATTTTATTTCTCCAATAGACATAGATATCCTAAAGGAAACAAATAAGGACATTTTGTATTCTTGCATGCTAGATGACAATTTAGCTGAGCTCGCTAAAGCATTGTATGCTCCTGACCAGGGTGTTCTCATGACTTGATTCGTATTATTTAATCTTTTTCTAAAACTGTGCTTAGCAACTATATGCTGTGATTATGTCAGAGGGAGAGGCAGGTAAGGTGTAAAGCAAATTTTCTTGGTCTGCATCAAAGTTGGCAGAGTATATGCAGCTACGATCTAATGGTTTTGCTACTTCTGGAAGAAGAGATGCACACAAAATAATATTGGGTATTAATAGATTGATATGATCTGTCCATTAGGTGTTTGGGAATAGTGTTGCATTTGTGCATTTTGCATCAAGATTTCTTTTGAGCGATTACCAGTTTTATAAATAAATTATTCAAATTTTTTATTCTGTGGTGTACAGAAAGAACAGTTCAATCTCAGGGGAACGTTTTTTTCCATTGTAAAGGGTTTCTGCTATAAGATGTGGAGAGTATCGCTCTATGAGGTAAATGATATACCAAATTTATGTAATGTCAATGTCATAAAGTTTATTTTAGAGTATAACCTGCATTGTAAATTGTAAATACATAAAATGAAATCTTACATCAGACTGATAAATTACCCTCTTGATTTGATTTGATTCGAAAAGTATCTTGAGCATACATAGCTCTAATTTTCAAGTGATCACACAAATGCAGTCTTGGCCTCTCAAAAAAAACCATGACTACTTTTGAAAATAGAAAAGCATTTTAAGGAAGTTATAGTGAAGGCAAAAGACAATGATAAATAATCAGGATATTCTGAATGCACATATCAAATCTAAAGCAATGTGGAATACCTTTAAAAATGTGATCACATCAAATCACAAATATGAAACTTAGTAAAGAATGTTGTTTCAGGGTAGCCACTCCATTCCTGAAACAAATTTTCCTGACTATTCCTGTTTTCCAGTGCATTTTTAAAACCAAATTTCCTGATGAAATTTGTAATTTCTCACTATCTTAAAGAAAATATTAAAGCCAGCCTCATACCAATACATCAACTTTCATGGCAAAGTACAAATTAACAATATTTTCTCAACAAATAGAAATCAATCAAAAAATAATGCTGTACAATATTTAAGGAATAACGTCCATATTTATACCCCTCTCCAAATTTTTCCATCTTCTAATGATTCTTCCAAACATTCCCTGCTTTTTCTTTTAATTTCAGAAAGTGCCCACGTTGTGTTTTAAAGGATAATGACAAAAAGAATCTAGCAAAAGACAACAGTCTCTACATCCAACAATTTTTAAAATTGCAGTTATCTCATGGAGGGTCTAAAGCCGCAAAATTTAACAAAAGACATTTTCCCACAAAATGTGTACACAAGTTTCTTTCCAAACTTGTTCCAAATCTTTATAATGGACAGTACAGCAAACAATTAACATTCAGCTGGTTTAGAAGTATTTTATTAAAAATATATGCACTTGCCTTTATACACCTGTAAACTCACATATACAATGCTTATTTATGCACAGAAATATTACCAAATATTTACAAAACACCAAAAATTGAAGCAACTTTTAAAAAACGCAACTAAAATGATTGGTTGATTTCTCTTGCAGTTTTTCAAAAATATTAGAGGTCTCTCTAAAAATGAATGAAAATGTTACCAAGGAAAAACAAAGAAGTCATTTGTCGCGTAAATGTAGTGATGGAGTTTATCGCAGGTGATCCTCCGCCACTGGTGTCCTCTGTTGGATAGCGAGATCCGGAGCTGATATTTCCCTCCAGCGGGACACCACCCCCGGTTGGGCAAGCTCTAAACTTCTGACATGTGTGATAGTGTAGTGCATGTAAGTGTAGTGTATGTGCATAAGGGGTGAGGATAGGTGGAGGAGGAGCAAGGAAAGATTGTGCATGATCCATGGTCTGTTTGTTATGATATTGCTCCAGCATTTGCCTGGTGGTGATCAGAGAAACCTTGGAAAACTACCAATCAAAGCAGCTGACCTCTAGAATTCTCTTCCAGACCTCTTCGAGTCAAGCTAGTGTCGAAAATCCAGCCACCATCAGAACTCAAATCCTAAGACCTCCAGGTCAGCGGCACTGCAGTAACATCAATTAATGTCTTGGGTCAGCTATGCTGGTTTTATTATTATGAATTGTAATGAAGTGAAGAATAAATACAAAGCTATGTAACAATTGTACTGAAGCTAAGGATGTGATGCCAAACATTTTCAATTTATTACTTGATTGTTATGTTCAGGGTAGTACTATCCACATGCAGTGGGTAGTACTACTCACCTGAAAATATTCCACATGGATAATAATTTAAAATTTTGACAAAAATTGGGGAGAAAATTCAATTTAACACCATTATTTCCACCATCAAATAGGTGAAAAAAAATATTTTTGAAATTGACCAAAACTTTCAATATTCAGACTTTGCAAGCAATGCGCAGTTGTGACCTAGCACAGTATGTTGACATTCCGTTCCTTGTCTAACACACAACCAATTTCTGGTGAGCTGGCAGTATCCCATTGAATCCAAAAGAACAGCACAATCCCTAATACTCGAAAAAGATCTTATAATATCTTTGGAATTTGCATTTTTCTTTTAATGATATTCAATATTCAAGATATTGCAGCATGTGAAATCATTTTGAAAACAAAGTGTCCAATTGGCGCTCTCTCTTGAGTCTGGCAACTCCCAGGTATTGCACAATGCTCCTGCCTATTACTGGGTTTACTGCATTTACTCATTACACCTTCACTTTAACACAACTGAACATATGGCCTTAGATGGCAACCAAATGGGTGGGGAGAGGGTCTTGTGGCCAAACACTTTGGAGCACTGCGCGGCAACCGAGGCAGCCCGAGAGGAATACCAATATTCTGTCTTCATCCGGCTCTAGCTGCAATTTAATTTTACGAATTTGCACTTGGAGGGGATTGCGATGATAATGGTTTTGTTGTTTACCTTTAATTTTATCAGAAGTGATAACGCCTTTTGTATAATCTGCAACTAGTTTATAATGTTATGCATCACTTGAAGTTGAAATAATTTGATTGAAGAATATCCTTTACTTAAAACATAGTGTTCTGTTAGGGTGCATGATTTGTCTATGGGTCAATAGACACATCAATTTAAGTCTGTTTCTTTGGGACCAACTGACAGAGCATTTGCCTTCATCACAACCCTGATCCATGGTTATGAATATTATTTTATGTTATGTATGCATGTGTTATCTGAATTTTGAATACACTTGTTGGTCTCACTTTGTAAATTGTTTTAATAGTAAAAATAGCTGCATACCGGAACCAAATTACAAACAAGATCAATCATTTTGTACTATTCTAAGTTACACTTAGTGTGTTACTGTAAGTTTAGAGATGTAAACCTTGTGGGTGGGTAAAATTTTAATATTGCGAAGTGTTGAGATTAATTTGCACCAAATATAAAATATTTAATTTACTTTTACACAGATTTCAGGATTCTGGTAGTTCCCCTGATTACGTATGCCATGAACTGGGAAACCTCTATGACACCTAATTTTTGTGGAAAACATAAGAAAATATAAATCGGGTCTCACCTACTTATTGTACCTCCTCAAGATTCTAAATAGCTAGAGTATCCAGAAGAATTGTAATTCCCCAAAGAAAAAAAGAAGATACCAAAAGACGTTTTCCAAATTGTTGGCACTATTATAGGTCACAATTTTTAATTGTTTCAGAATCCAGAATATACAAAACTTTATTGATGTATTACAAAGAGGTGAGGATTTTCTTTATACAGTTGCGTATTGTATAATTCAGGCAAGTGGCAGCCCACACTCAAATCCAATGTGCCGATTCATGAACACACAAGTTCACACATAAGCTGTTTCACAGAACACCACCTGAAATAGCCAACTATTAATGTCCTCAAACAAACACCATCTGACATCAAAGCAACCCACCTGTTATTTTCAGTACATTTGCCACTTAAGAGCAAAGTGGATGATACATGCTGGTGGAGTACAGTATTAAAGGAATGAGGAGAATTTTTTATAGAAGACAACTGTTTTTGTAATTAATATAAAATAAAACTGTGTAATTCATTTAATATAATATTGTTTGTAAATAACATGAAGATAATTAGGTGTCTTATATACACTGCATTATGTACATATGTAAAGTACTAAGGCATTAGACAATGTAAACACAAGTTACATAATACCTGTGCTAAACTGTTACACCCACTTCACCTAAAATATCTGATAATCTACTAAGGTGGATGTTAATAGCACCATAATCTGCATCGGGCATACTTCTATGAATAAGCTGGAAAGCATTCATGTACTCAAGTTCTGAAAACTGTGGTCCTTTCTCCATAACATTATTGAGTATTTCCTAGAAAACAAACACGTGTTAAAGTAAGTAGATCTACCTCTGAACAAGTTTACAGTGTAACAGTGATCTTTTGTTATAATAACATTTGAACTATGAATTAGAAAACACGTGAAGAACTAATATTTTCACTTCACTTACTTCTGGTGTCAAGTAGAACAATTCAAAATAATGTCTTGCATGATCAAGAGCAATTTCTCGAGCCATTGTGATGTTTGTTAACGTCTGCTGTAAAGCAAATATATTGCGACACATCTTTTGTATGCCACCTTCATCTATACGTTCTATGTACTGGGCAGAAGTTATTAGAATTTTTGCTATAAGATGTCCCAAACCTTCAAATATGTACTGCAATGAGAAAAAACAAATTTTGATTTCATATCCAGGTCATAATTAAATTTGTAATGTGGTTCTACATACGAAAGTTTTTGTAACAGATACATCATATTATAATACTACAAATAATATCTACACAAAAAGTAGGATGCAAGATTTTCAAAAAACTTGGAATGACTACAAAAGACAGATTCAACAGAAACCTAATATAGATCTAAGAATGGAAGAACATTTCAAAATATTATAGCACGACCGAGACCATAAAAACACAAACAAAGAATTAGAATTAGGTGCACAATCATCAATACAAGAAGGTTAAATTTCTTTTAACATTCCATGAAATGAATTTACAGAGTAGTTTTCCCACTTAATAAAATTGATGAAATGGCAAGTTTAAAACCATGAATTTAAAATGTGTACAATGAGATAACATTTATGGATTTTTTCTTTCTTTCCAACTTCAGGCAAAATACTCTGCATATAAAGAAAAGGAAGTAAAGCATGAAACTGTTATGGAAGAACAATAAAATATAATAGCAAAACTGAAAACATAAAGTGAACAGCAATAGATGAGATGAAACCAATTATTATCAAATATGGCTAACAGGAACTAAAAAATAAAGTTTGCAATTTTTTGGCAGGAAAACTCATATTGTGGGCCCCTGATACAGAGAAGTGAATAAATCTTGATCAAATATGTAGTAAATTTCTTCTATCACATTGTGTTATCAGAATCCATGATTTGTGACTCCTTGATGCTGAAAATTTGGTGTGTGGCAAAACATCCGCCTGGCCACAAAGATAACTGTGTGTAAAACAATCAATGGATTTTTTGTAAAATAAATATTCTCTGAACCTTTGACCCCAAATTCAAGCAATTTTAAATAACATTCTTTAAATTTTGGGAGAACTTTGCATGGAGCCTCCAGGAGATTTTCTAAAGCTTCTCGTAAATGGCTCTAAATTTTTAATTTAAATTTCTTGAAAGAATGGAGTGAAATACACTTCTGAAGATGGCAAAGGTCTAATTATAACTCTTAACTGTGAATTTTTGAAAATTACAATTGTTTTGGCGTCTTCCTTCAACTACAATATTAAAGGTAGAGATTTCTTTCTTCAAATACAATTTTTTCTCCACAATTAGTATTTTAATTATTGTCATGTCCTTTTTGTCAACATTTTATCTGTTTTCACATACTTTTGACTGAAATTAGGGCAATATTAAAAGGTATTAAAAGACAAGTTTTTCTCGAAAATTGTTCAAATTTTTGCATAAAAAGTGTATAATAGTGTATAAAAAGTGCTAAATGCACTTTTTAAGATATAAACATAATTTTGATGTATACTACTTTTTTTTCCTCTTCCTGTCCAATCCTTCATCCCTTCACACACACTAAACTAACTTCCCACACATGACAGGTGACCGGTGGGAGCTTAGACTTGTTCTGGCAGTGGCATTGTCCCACATGGTGAGGTATATGTAGACCTCATTCAAAGTACTTGTACTTGCAA